TATGGGACGGGGTACAGTGAGTGAAAAAAATCGATAAAAGTTAGTTTTTACATACAGGATAGGCTTAAACATTACGGTCGTTACGTTGATGTTATCTCTGCGATTGCAACCACAGTAACCGACGTTTCTGCCCTCCTAAATGCTGTAGGCCGAGCACACCCGTCTATCAAATTCACGTTGGAGATGGAACCGGCCGGTTCGCTTTCTTTCTTAGATGTCCTTCTAAACAGGAGATCTGACGGTAGTATCCGGAGGAGCGTTTATCGGAAGAAAATCTGGTCTGGACAATACACAAACTTCGTTAGTTTCGTACCTCTCCAACTAAAACGAAATCTAGTCAGGTGTTTGGCACAAAGGGATCGAAAAATTTGTTCACCAGATAGTATCGAGGAGGAACATAGAAAAATCGAGGACTTGCTTCGCGAAAACGGGTATCCTGACAGGTTCATTGCAAATAACTTTGCCGAACGACTCGCAAAACCCACCACACTGACCGCTGAAAAGAAAATATTGTTCCTCAAAGTTCCTTTCCAAAGAGATGCTGCGAGTGAACTCCTTAGAAGACGCCTAGGAATATGTCTTGGGAACCTTCCCAGCAGCAAGAGTTCGCAAACCATTCCCTACTAACCCTATTTTACGCGGAGAAGGCAAGGATAGGCTGCCACCTCAGACCGCCTCAATGCGCATCTACTCATTCACTTACTCCTGTGGAGCAGGTTATATTGGTCGTACGAGTCGATGCCTTTCCAAAAGACTACGAGAGCGCCTGTCGCATGGCTGGCAAAAGATGAAACTGGGAGAATAGACAGCACCATCCTTGCGCGTGCAGTGGATTCAAGGCATCGTGTGGACCCCGCTGAAGCCTTTCGTGTAATTTATAAGGTTCCCTCGAGCCACCCTAAGCTACTGAGCCGGCGCCTGTTAGCGGCAACAGAAGCAGCCGTCATCAGGTTACGAAAACCGACCCTATACGCCCAGAAGAACCTCGTCCAGGCTCCGCGCTGACAGTGATCAAAGACTGACTAACCACATACAACTTTCTGCGCCCTTCCGCTCTTGCCTATCCTGCATTTTAAAAACTAACTTTTATCGATTTTTTTCACTCACTGTACGCCGTCCCATATAACTGTACTGGCCTGACGAGAAGTTATCGAAAGCAAAGTTCGCTCGCCACCTTTTCTTCTGAATATAGTTATGGGGATTTTCACGACTCTAAAATTGTAATTCATACAATATATCGCCCTTTTCCCATTTAAACGTTCTCGCGACTAAGAATATTCCCAAGTATTTAATTCACTCCTATCTTTCCAGATTAAACGACTTTATCGGAATCGATAGCACAATAAAGCCACTCCCTTCTTAGAATTACGATTTTTTCTCGAAATTCAGCAAGTGATTCCCTTCCTGGACTGATTATCAGACACACTCAAGTTTGAAAAGAGTTCCATTTGCGGGACCATCGTACAATGAATATTATCAACTGATGAACGAACGGCCCTCATAACCTATATCTACAGTGAGTGACCGATCTCATGAAATGTTGGCTGAAATTCTGAAATGCGTTTTCGATTAAGAAGGGTTACTTGGTCGTGGTTGTAAGAGTGATTATCTTGCGACATAATCTTATAACATTTCGGACTCGGCAGGATGTCAGCTTTTGAATACACTGCTTTTCAATCTCATGTAGAAACCGTACTCGGTAAAAATGACTACTTAAGTAGCATGCATTTTTCTCATTGATTTTCGATGGTCTTGGAAATTCAAATATAACTTATAGAAAGCATAAAAATAAACATGCTTTCTTTCAGTCAGCCGATAGCGAATCACGTCTTCGTTATATTTTATACTTAAGGAAGACGTATAAGTAGGGTTTGAAAAAAGTTTTTTAATTGCCTAATAATTTGGAGCCCGATCATTCGTTGCATTAGCGCTTAGTGATTTAAGCCTACGAGGTGTATGCGTTCCGCGTAAAGAAAATCACATATTTTTCTACGCCATTAAGAAGATATCATACAGAGTCATAAAATATTGAAATGGATGCGGACTCTGTTGCACATTTCACGAGGAGCCGTGGTAAACGTCCAGGTACGATGTTACGTGAATGGACATTGCGCGGTCTTAAAAAATCTCATAATTGGAAAATTTTTTTAAAACCTAATTATGCTCCTTCCTTGAGTATAAAATATAAAGAAGACGTGATTCCCTATCGACTGACTGAAAGAAAGCATGTTTATTTTTTATGGTTTCTATAAGATATATTTGAATTTGTAAAACCATCGAAAATCAATGGAAAAAATGCATGCCACTTAAGTAGTCATTTTTTACCGAGTACGGTTTCTACATGAGATTGAAAGCAGGGTATTCAAAAGCTGACATCCTGCCAAGTCCGAAATACCATAGTATTATGCCGCAAGATAATCAGCATTACAACCGCGACCAAGTAATCCTTCCTAATAGAAAGCGCATTTCAGAATTTCAGCCAACATTTCATGAGATCGGTCACTCCCTGTATGTACTGGCATGTAACACTTACAATTATATAGACTGTAAGATAATTCACTTCCTTTTCCAGCACAGCCATCGAACATTACGTATTGTGTTAGCATTTCGTCTACTGGTAGCTACTGCTGATGCATGAAAGCTGCAATCAACGATCGGATGCTATGAGTACGACGAGCAAGTACATGGTAGGCTACGATCATGGCGTCTAGGTTGTGTTGGCGAATAGCGTAATCGTAGAGGAAGTGGAGGATGTTTTGAAGTCCATGCCCAGCACATTTAAATGATGAGATGCGGCAGTAGGCTCATCGATCGTAACCCTTCGCTCCTCCCCTCGGGCTCTCCCAGAGGGGAAAGTAGGTCTATGTACGTTTTCGATTTCTCACTTGAAATTTTCTTGCACACTTGAACTCTTCTGTACACTTCCGTAGTCCTTTTAACATCACAAGGCCAACGAGTGTCACTAGACCTGTGAGTAGATCGTCAATTTATGACTGATGCCCTCGGAAACGGGGTGTTTAATAGTAGATGTTGACTTTTTCGTCAAATGGCACAGCGTTTCGTGTACGGTACGTGGAGGACTACATAATCCGCTTGTGCGACGCACGCTGGCGTTCGCGTTGACCACCCAATCAGGATTTCCCAAGTAATCCGTCCAGAATCAGTTTGGTGACTGTCAAACTCACTTAATTAACTGATTTGACTTCCAAACCCGGATCAGTCGGTCAATGAACCAAACACCTCAGCGTTTCGTCGAACTTCTATGACAAGTGTGAACAGCCATATTTTTTCCCGAAACCATTCCATCTCGCTGCATCCCACTCCTATGTTACTGAATACTCCCGATCAGAGTCTGTGGGGAGAGAGTTCAGTGGCCGACGGATCCCGGGTCCGGCCCCTAAGATTTGACGACTTGAGGTTGCGAAACGGCTGGCTAACGACTGTAAATGCACCCAAAACGACCAATTCACTATTTATTGTCTCTTTTTTTAATGTTATATTCCAGTGTTTTCGTTTGTGACTTGACACCCGTAGCAACTAGTAATGGTTCCTTTTTTTGCGGCACCCTGTTAAATCTCCCTTGTTGGAGACACTTTCGTAGTCCTTCTAACGTCACAGGGCCGACGAGTGTCATTAGACCTGTGAGCAGATCGTCGATTTGTAGCTGATGCCCTCGGAAACGGGGTGTTTAATGGTAGATGCTGACTTTTTAGTCAAATGGCACAGCGTTTCGTGTACGGTGCGTGAAGGAAGCTTGTGCGACGCACGCTGGCGTTCGCGCGCGTTTTTCTGCCTTCACGTGTGCGTGTTCGTGCATAAATTTTCATTAGCCCACTGCAAACTGCCACATTTCCCATTTGTGAGGGGCTGTTTGCGGTCCAGATGGGATAATGTGGCCAGCTGGTTGCTGCACCTCACATCCGCGCAACCAGGTTGTGCAGCAGATATTTACAGTAGCCCGGTCGTAGCATTCGCGTCGGCGTTATGCATTCTATGCATTTGGCTGGACCGGGCGGCAATAATAGATCCGGGAAGTGCACACTGAAGTGCTCGCAGGCTGAAAGAACTGCCGCGAGGTGAAGTATAGGCAAAAAGTTGTGGGATCGAATTCCGGGTTATCGAAGCCCGGGACCGTCCGCACGACAGAGTTCATGTTCGCTTCGGCGCAGGAGAATCGATCCACCGATTGGCTCTTTGTGGGGGCTTCCTCGATTGGCTGGCCGGGCAACATTCGTCTGAAAAGGTGATCCAGTGGCAGGGGACGAGGCAGTGCAGTAAATAGATACAGTAGCTCAATTTGATGCATTCTGCACGTCTAGCAGGGCCGGACGATGATAGTAGACTTGTAAAAAGTATGCCGAGTTGCTCCCATTTCGAAAGAGTCTCTGAAGAGGCGGACAGGATCGCTGAGACAAGAGCTTTATTCGCCTGACGTTTCGGATTCCCGCTCGAACCCATCATCAGAGACAAAAGCAGATACGGATGGTTCATGCACAAGGAGCTGCAGTATTTATAGGTTTTGAATGTGTGGCCGGATCTCGTCGAATGAGCCGCAGCTTGAGAGCTAGCGTCCTTTATCCGCACCGCTGCAGCTTGTTCGGCCATTCTCGTTCAGAGCTGTCTTCCGGTTTATCCGACGTAGTTGCTTTGTCCGCAACTGCACCAGATCCGATAAACGACTCCAGACGTTTCTTGCCGTGGCAGCAGGTCTTTCGGTTTCATTACCTAACGCCTGATGGTTGCCTCCGGTCTGTGTGCAACTCCAACCCCAAGTGGCGCGAGAAGGCGACCGACAGCTTCCGAAACGCTCTTAACGTAGGAAAGAGCTCGCCAAAATTTGGTGTCCGTGCGGTTAGGCCTTTTGTCCCTTTTGCGTATGCACCGGTCGACGAAGTTGCGCAGGTAGCCATTGGCTTTAAATACCCGTCAGAGGTATTGTGGTTAGGAAATCTTGTCTTCCGGCTCATTACAGTGCGTTTAGACACGCCGATGGAGCGTCCTTACACAGCTGCGTTTGTGGCTGATTGGTGGTTGTTGTTGAAGTTCAGTACTTGCATCGTATTTGTCGCTTTCCTGAACACTTTGGTCTTTAGTCCACCACAATCCTTGCGGCATACGAGGACATCCAGGAAGGTCAGCCGGTTGTTCTCTTCCGCCTCCATAGTAGATTTTATCTCCGGGAAGACGGCATTCAGATGTTCCTTAAATGTCAGCAGTTGATCCCGGTCGATAAAGACGAAGGTATCATCCAAATACGGGGCCCAGAACTTTGGTCTGTGGTGTTGGAAGACCAGCGACTCTAACCGTTGCAGGACCGCCTCGGCGATGAATCCTGAAATCGGCGAACCCAGTGATGTGCCCTTCACCTGTTCGTAGATTGTCCAGTCGAACGTGAAGTTCGTCCTGAGACAGAACTTCAGGAGCTTAAGGACCTGGACGTGTCCAAGACGATTCTCCGTTTAATCGTATTTGCTTTGTAGAAGCAGCTCGATTGCCTCGATCGCCAGGTCCTGGGGAATGGAAGTAAGAAGGGACGTAACATCGAAAGATACCATGACCTCATTTGGATGGAGGCTTGCACCGTCGAGTTTCTCCAGGAATAGTAATGACGAAGAGACCGTGGTGTCTGACTCAACGGTCAGGAACTTGAGACGCCGGAAGAGCCACTTAGCCAGTTCGTATGTTGGAGCACCTTTGAGCGACACGATGGGTCGGAGAGGAGCGCAGTCTTTTGTGCACCTTAGGGAGGCCATAGAATCGGGCCAATGCCGTATCTTGGGGTCTCGCCATGCGTCTGTCGGCCGGCGTTATTGCGCCAGAGTTCTCCAAGGCCAACAACGTAGCATTAATTTCGCGTGTCGGCCCTTTTACAGGGTTCGTTGCACATGGGTCGTAGAACTGTCGGTCCTGCAGTAAACCCTGGCTTTTTGAGGGTAATCTGTCCTGTCCAGTAAAACGTGGAGGATCCCTTGTCTGCTGGCACGATGACAAGGTCTTTGTCGGCGTTGAGTTCCCTAAGCGCATAACGTTCGATCTTGGGCAGCACTTCCCTCGGCCTGTGGGCCATCAGGAGAGACGACACTTGGTGTCGGATGAGGCTCTTAGTCTCCTCCGTTGCCTCCGTCTGACTAAGGATTGATCCCACTGCTGCAATCAGGTTAACAGGTTTGGCGTCAGCCGTGTTAAATGAAGCTTTGTGTCGTAAAACCTGCATCTGATCCTTCGTCAGCTCCTTTGACGACAGGTTGTGCACTAGTTTGTCGTTTCTGGGCGACGTTGGATTGGGCAGCTTTCGGAATTTGTTCTCCAGTGCTGCGTTGCGTATCACTCTCTGTTCGCGGGCTTGTTCAGTCACCCTCTGCAGGAGCAGATTTGTCCCGATCTCGCCCATGAACTCACAGCATGTGGTCTTTTCTTGGTCAATCCTTTGACGGAACTTGCGAAGTCTTGCGTGGCAATCTTGGAGGAGGACTTGGATCATCCTTCTGCCGTGCTGAAATACTGCTCGTCTCTCCAAATAGAACTCTTGTTCCAGCGATCGTGTCTCCATCTTCACGATCGTTTCCTGGGTCTCTTATCTTCGCTTCTATTTGGAAGAGCCACTGTTGTGCTGTTATTTCTTACTAACCAAGTTCGAGAATCATGGCCAATAAAAAATGAGACTAGATGGGCTATTTCGGAACTACCTGCGACGTGAGTCCGTGATGCTCAGGCCGAAAGTGGGAAAAACCCGAGGTTCGAACCCGGGCTCGGTTGATCGTTGAGTCAGATGTCTACGAGTCCAGCCAAAAGCCCACACCCTATTGCCTGTCAAGCGAACTATCCGGTCACACGTGAGGAGTGTTCGCGGGTATTGCCCGATTTCATTGCGGTAGGTGAGAGTACCGTCGTTCCCGAGATCTCGCAAGCGGTCGCGCAATGAAGAGTACTCATTACCCGAAAATTATTATCCACCGGGAGGGAAAAATTGAAACTTTAGTTTCGGGCTTATTTGAGTTCATCGGCCAGTCATTCATGCACCCAACCCAAGCCCAAGTTCCTGGTATACCTATTCGACCGAGACAAAGAAGCCTGCATCATTGCTTGTCGCCTTTAGACCGCTTATGAGAGTTTCATGCTGCTGTTTCAGGTTCACTCGAGACCTCCGTGGCCAGTGTTTCCGCCTGGTCAGGTTTACGAATGCCAGTTTCACTCGGTTGCCTTTAGCTCCCAGTAAAATGTACAGAACAACAACCATATGCGGATTAACATTCTGGCAGCGTGACTGCATGATACAATTATTTTCTAAAATGTGAAATGGAAACTCGCAGGTCCATGCAGAAACGCGTATCGAGAAAGGCGAGGTAGACTGTAATGGCCATTTTCGGCTTAGGGATATCATTAGCAAACCATGTTGAACTCCAGATCCGTTCGGCCTGGGATTCGAACCCTGGTCCTCTTGTCATTGGGTGTTTCCAAGTCCGATGCTCTATAATTGGGCCACGAGCTCGTTATGCCGCCGGCCACGTGAGGAATATTGTCTATGCGGTGGAGCATGTTCCATACCCTAATCGACGAACGCCCTTTTCATGATAATCAGTATTCTCGATGGCGACTGATAAGGCGAAGAGTCGGTGGATAAGGAGTAGGGCGTTGGGCCTTAAAACACCCAGTGACCAAAATAATCGGAGTTTGCATCCCACAACATGCAAATATGGAGTTGGGTATGATTAGCCGGTGACAACAAATAAGTCTTAAACGGTCACTCTGGCCTCCTTTGTCTTTATCGGTACAACCCTGCAACCGCCTGCGAGGGCTCTAGATTGAGCAGTAAGAAACAATGGGGAGAGCCTGTCCTGGAACCTAATTGATAAACGACTTCCCATCACTTCCGGATTTGTGTAAACGGATGTGGTTGATGGGAGAGTTGGATCGGTAGTCGGAAGACTACTCCATCTCGTCCCACGCGGGGACAACAAAAAGTTTTACCCAACCGATTTCCGTGCTCCAGCAAATGTCAGCAAAAACTCTGCCAGTGGAGACCAAGAGTATTCACAAACAACGAAGACCTCACGAATGTCCTTTGATTGGAGGACCATGCTTCGGTTTTAAAAAGGATCAGATGTGGTTATGTAGCCCCACCTGAAGTAAACAAATCCCAGCCACCTGCAACGTGGGACGGATGGCAAAACGATTTTTACAGGTGGGACTGGGGAACGCACAGACGATGAGGTCACGTAGTTGCATGCAAGAGAAAGGCTATTGGGAATGCACGGTTGTACTTTGAGTGGTTGAGAAACAGTTGTTCTAGCCCCTAACCCTGACCCTAACCTCTGACCCTAACCTCTAACCTTAACCCCCAATCCCACCCCCAACCCCTAACCCTAACCCCAACAGTATTGTGTCCATCTGGTGGAACTACACAACCATATCTTACCTTAAAAAGTTTCCGATTATGAGATTTTCAAAGGTCATGCTAAGTTCACTCGAGTAGCATTGTATCTGTCTGTTTAATAAGGCTCCTCATGAATTATGCAACAATTAAACAAATCGCAAAATCTTATGAGCTATTTATGTTATCTTCCTAACGGCATAGTGGGATGTATGATTTTGCTTACGTGGAGACTACACAATGAAGGAAAATGCACTGGCAGATCTCGCTTAAGATTATTTGTGAACTGATAAACTTAAAACACAAATAAACACTTCTATCGAGCATAGGATTCGGAAAAAAGACGTGAACGGCTACCAAATGGGACAAAGAAATAATATTTATGTACAAGTTTTATGTATAAAATGGTTTGAGGCCATGAAAGTATTTGTTTTTTTTGCAGTGTAGTGTCTGCAACGGCCTGCGAATGGATACCAAGATAACACCCCACACAATACGAGCCACAGTCTATTGACGGTTAAGTAGGGTCCTCCACCCTACCTTTGCCAAAAAATGTATTTGAATTCAGATGAAGCAGCGAAAATCAATCGAAAAAATGCCTACTGTTTAAGTGCTCGCTTTTTTACTAAGTTCAGTCATTGCAGGCGACTGAAAATTAATACGTTCGGAAGCCATCATCCTGAAGTGTATGAAATATCATGACTCCACGATAATCAATATTGCCAGGGACTAGTTCCAGGGACTAGTTGAGAAGAAGTAGAAGCGATCAATGCTAAAACCCCACTTAAGCAACCCTTCCTAATTGAATACGCATTTTAGAATTTCCGGCAACATATCCTGAGATCGCCCACTGACTGTATTAAAAAGCGCTTTGGTAACGGTAGGATGTAGGACCTCCAAGTAGATGGCAACCCCAAAAATAAACCCTAAAATTCTCTGAAACCGTGTGCATCACTTACTATTCACCATTCCCATTTTTTGAAATGTCCTACCATCCCTGACTATACATAAACTTACCCGCGACGGTTTATTCAAACTCCGGCACTTTTGGAAATTGCCTTTTGTTTATTTCCTAATTATCGCGCTCGCTTTCTTTGCCAAATGACAGCGTACGATTAGACTTTCGGCGGAAATTTATTTATTTTATGCGTCTTCTTGCTCTCCGTCCTGTATGTT